GTCCCTTGATGCTCTCCAACGGATGACATCTTCCAAAGCTTGCCACTCTATCCTTGCCACCTCCCTGCTTGCCTTTTTCTTGTCAGAGAGGGGCGAAGTGGGGGTTGGCTTCTGCTTCTCCCCTTCACCATGCCCTATCAGACTTTCCCAGAAGGAGGAAGAAGAGGAAACCCTCCCCTGGCACCCTGTTCCACCAGCGGGAAACCTAGAGTAAGATAGCTGCTGCAGCCACAATAAGGGGCTCTATGACCTCCTGGCTTCTCTGAGGAAGCTCCACGAGGCCTCATCCCAGCTTGGTGAAGGGTGGTGACTTCTGGCACCTGCTCTGTGGGGGAGGGGGGGAAACTAGCAGAAAGGTAGGAGGAGAGGGGCAGACAGACATGAACACACACACACAGGCCAAACCAGACACAGACCGGTGACAAGAGCCAGGGAGAGAACTATGGATATAGGAGAGGTTGAGGAGAAGCCACAGCCACAGCGGTGGGAGGAAGGGCACACAGGTGTGCTGTGCTCTGGTGGCTTGTGTTATGAAAGGCATATTGCCCCCTTCCTAGGACATTTCTTCATCCCTGAAATAAGGAGAGGTCAGTCACTGTGTTTCCCAAGGGTGATGACTGGTGTCACACACCCGCACACAGGCTGAGAAGCAGCCTGAAGGCAGGCTCCTGAGTGTGGGCATCTTCCTGTGGCTGTCCCCCCCCCCCACACACACACAGAGAGGGTCATCTGGGACTCACAGCCCTGAATTTCTGTACCCTCAAAGCCACTTTACATCACTTGCAAACTTGGATGTAAACCCTGAGGAGTCCCTGACCCAGGCCAGTATGCCAGATGTGGAGCCATCTTTCCCTTTGTGGTGTTAGCCTCTCTTCATTCCGCTTTTGTTACCAGTCACACTACTGTGTCCGGGGCTCTGGGAGGCCTAAGCGAGCTGAGGGAGGGCCACAGCCTCTCTGCTATGCCTCAGAAGGAAATTTTATTTCCTCAGAAGGAAAGCTGCAGTGCTCTGTACTCATTTGGGGGCATTTCACCTGCCCTGGGTGCTGGCTGGTGCTAGGCACCCAGATGTGTGGGGGACGGGCCCTGTCCAAGCCAACGCTGACTCAGTGGCAGACAGCCATAGGTAGTGTACAGCTCAGTGGTGTTTTAATGCTTGCTTAGCATCCTCAAGGACCAAAGTTTCAATTCCAGTACTACCAAGTAAGCCCAGACCAGTGAGAGCCCCCTGTGGGCCTGGGCTGAGCTGGGAGGAAACATGGGTCCATGTCAGTGTGTTGCACAGCGGGAGAGAGACTGTGGGAGCAGGCTGGTGGATGCAGCTGCCACAGAGGGCTGTCCTTCAGCCCCTCCCTAGACTATAGTACTCTACTGTCAGCCCCTAGAGTGGTCCGGGTTAGCCAGCTCTACTTGTTCCCAGAGGAGGGACTGACTATGGTTGGGTCATCCCCCTGTGTCAGGGGCAGTGTTCCACTTGGAGCCAGCTTCTAAGCGGACTCAGGGAAAATGGCCAGGATTCTTCTGGGCCATGGGAGCCGTGAGTGTTAAGTTTACAGGACAGGGAAGGAAGGTGAGGCTTGAGTACTGGACAGCTTCTTGGTGGAGGCTGCTCTTGAAGGCTGGCAGCGACTGGACATTCTGAGGAGACTTGAACAGAGGTGGCTGCACGGTGAGAGCCATGTGGGGCTGTTGGCTTCAGTGGCTGTCACAAGACTAGATGCCTGGTATAGCTGGCCTTTCCTATAATGGAGATTCACAGAAGGTAGAAGTGGGCAGTGGCCAGAGCAGAACTGTACTGTTTTTTAGTTTTGATCCCAGCTCACTCTGTAGCCCAGGCTAACCTGGAATAAAATCATCCTCTAACCTCTCACCCCTCCCTGAGTGCTGGGATTATAGGTAAAAGCCACCTTGACCTGCCAGAATTATGCTTTCCTGGAGGTAATCTCTGGCTGGCATCAGGGAAGGCAGGCCAGTAGGGAAGCTCTTCTCCAGGCTGGTCCCAGTCTGGTGGCCGGACAGCTCTTGGGCAACTCATTTTACAGGACCCTCCAATGAAAAGGGCTGCCTCTCCCCAGGTGGTCACGGCTGGGGTGGGACTGGCTTAGATTGTGAGTCAGAATCCCTGCTGGCTCTCTGTTTCCTGATGAGTAAACAAGGCCTATGGTAGCCCCTCTAGCCTCCGTTTCCTGAGCCAGCAGCAGGCCAGCCTCTCACCCCGGCTCTGCTCCTGCTGCCCCAGCCTCCAGCCTGCCTTTCTCAGGCTTCCTGTTCCTCCATCCGGCAGACATGCCTGGCGTGCCAGAGCTGGCTGGGTTGGGTGTAGGAGGGGCCCTCTGTGTGTGTTTGCGGAGACCTTGGTGTGAGGTGCCCCTGGGCAGTCAGTGCTGGCAGAGCTGGCTCTTTTTGGGGAGAATGCAGACACCTGGGCTGGGGTCTCACCCTTGTTTGGGAAGGACTATAGCAAAGACAGCTCAGGAAAGGGCAAAGAGACAGGGACCACGAATGTCCGCCTCAGTACCAAGCTAAGCTGCATTGTGAGGGGGGCATACTGCTGGACTCTCCATGACAGCCTTGACAGGAAGAGGAGAGTGGAAGACCCACGAAAGGAAGGCGAGTGCTGCTGAAAAACAAGGGAAGGTGTGTGGAAAACATGCCAGGCTGTCAGGGAGGCTGAAATGTGCATGGAGCCTCATAGCCAAAGTCGCACAGCTCGTGATGGGACAGGACTAGACTCTCTGGACTGCAGGATGGGGGGCGGAGGTACCAGGGAGTTGGGTTTCTACTACAGATGAGGGAGGGCAGAAAATTCAGCGATCCTGCCCTGTCACTGGCTCTAGCTTGAAGATGCACCTGGCAGGCAGCCCGCCATTCTGGGGATCAGGTTCTGGCCTCCTCCCCCCTCCCCACTTCCTTTCTCCCTGTCAGCATTTTCAACCCTGTTTGTTCCCGGATCATCGTGGGGGTTCTTCAGAAAAAAAAAAAAAAACAAAACAAAAAACCAAAAAAGCCCTCCAGTTTTTCCTGGATCGAATGCAAGGGGGGGGGGGGGTCCTGGTCCTGTGGATGCTGGGTACAACTAATGTGGGTGGGGCAGTGCATGTTACAGATTGGCCTCAAGTGTGTCACCACACTTAATCTTTATAGGAACCTTGTGTTGGAGTATGTTACCGTTCTCTGGAGCCAGAGTGCAGGGGTCATTCCATGCTACGCCACTCCTCAGCGGGCGAGGGGAACTGGAAATAGGCCTGCGGGAGTTCCCACATCTTCCTTCCATCACTCCCATTTGCTGCTTTCTGGTTAAGAACCCTCTTAACCATCTACCAGTTCCCAGAGGCCCTAGACTCACTTCCTCCTCCCAGAGGCTGGGGTGTAGTGAGGGTAGGGGGCTCTTGGAGCCGGGGGCCCTGTGGGACTCAGAGGCTGAGAGGCAGGAATGTAGCTTGCAGCCTTGCAGGCAGGAAATGGAGCTGAGCCTGGCCAAGAGCCCAGCACTTTGCACGTGGAGGCGGGAGAGAAGAGTTGTTCGTTTCGACTGCGTTCAGCGCAGTTCCCACGCCTCTGATCATGTTCTAGTGGCAGCGTCCCCTCCCCTTCGCTGGTCCTGTCCCTGGCCAGCTCCCCACTCCTATAACTAAGGCTGTAAAGATATCAAGTCCCCGGGTTTCCTATTCCCTGTCCAGAAATAGAACTATTGGGAGGCCTCGGCTGCTGCCGGAGTTTGGGACCCCCTTCTGACAACACTGGCTGTAGGTATTGGACAGGCTCCTATATTTACTGAGTCTGCTTCCCCGGCTGTGGACTGGATAGTAGCACTCTGCGAGGGCTGACAGAAGCTTTCAGTGAAGTGTCCTATGGGAATCACTCACTCCATGCCTGACCCATCTCACAGCAATACCGGGTCACGTTTTGGCTGGGTGTGAGGGAAGGCCCTTTGTCAAAGCTGAAGCTTGGTGGGAGATGGAAATTGACTCCCCAAGGTGGGGGGTCTCCTAGGGCAGGGAGCCAGGAACGAAGGACTAAGCCCCTTAATGAGTGTACAGTCATAGAGGTTAGGTGCTCTGGAGGCTCATGGGATAGGCATCAAGTATACCAGCCCCGCCCCCAAGAGAAGCCAGCTTCAGAGGCTTTGGGGTCCTTATCAGGCCTGTGTTTATTTCCCAGGCTGGGAAGGGTCAGGTAAAATCCTTCTGCTTTCTGCTAGGACCTTCCCCTTCTCCCCTCCCTATTGTCCACTCACTGGTCTCTGCTGACCCTACATTGGCTTCTAGCCCTGGACAGAGCTGCTGAAACCTCCTCCGCAATGCAGTCCCACCCTGAAGGCCTTTGGAGGAGGGACGGTAGCCTGCCCAGAGTTGCTGTCAGTCGCCTCCCATTATACTGTGCCCTGTTCTGTGCAGGGCCCTCTTGAGCCCCCAGCTGAACTGAAGAGGGAGTTAGGGCAACACTTGATTGTACTTCTGGCCTGGGGGCAAGGGCAGGTGAAACAGGGGAAGGGCTTTATGCAGCCATAGCTCAACCTGCTTCACCTTAACTCAGTCTTCCTGAGGCTCCGCCCACCAAACCATGCTATGGACTCTAGGGACAGACAGGACAGGGCAGCTCACTGGCTCCCATGTCTGACTTCCGAGGTGAGACTGCATCCTGACTAGAGCCCAAGATTCTGGAAGAGTGGAATATGGAAAAGAACCAGAGTAGGGGCGGAGATGTGGAGAGTGTGTGGGCTCTGCCCACGGCCCTGGCTGCGGAACACCCTTGGGGGCGTGGGAAGAGCCAACCCTGTTGGTGGGCAGTGAGTAGGGCAAGGTTGGAGGGGGCAGTTTGGGAAGCTTGAGAGAAGGAGCTGACTTTGTAGGGGTGGGGGCGTGTTTGTGGTAACACCCACTAGATCAGGTTGTGAGTAGCATTGGGTACTTCTGACTATGGTGGGTGGGGCTCCCTAAAGCCCCATCTCCCAAGGCCATGATGCCAGCCCATTAGCCAAGCCAGCCAAGTGGCACCCCTTCACATCTAATGGGGGAGCAGGGGAGGTGGAGCACCACACTCCCAGCCAGGCAGCTGAGTTTCCTCTTTTAAGGATCTAAACCCCATGTACTGGGATCCCGGGACATCATCTGGCTTCCATGCTGGCGTCACTGGTGAGTTATTTGGTTGAGAAACAGCTGGACTGGAGGGTCCAGCTGGGCCCCAGGGGAGGTGTGGGGTGAGAGTCTCTAGGCCATGGAAGGAGCTGGGGTTCAATTAGGGAGCCTACTTTAATCTGAGCAGAAGGTGTCCTGGCTGAGCGGAGAGAATCATGATCTGCTGGAATATGTGGGTGGGGGCCGGGGGTGGGGCTGCAACAAACATTCCAGGGATACTCAGGGGTTTGGGGCCAGCAACTGCGACCTCTCTTCTCGGGGAAAAATTACAAGCAGATGTGGGTATCTCTGGAGAGTAGAGGGGAGTTTGGGCAAGTTTTAAAAACAGACACAGAAGGGTAGCCTGTAGCCATCAGCTTTTCCTGAGCCTAGGTGGTCAGAGAAAAACTCGTCCCATCTGGGGTCCTGACTTCCTGCCCCTGGGGAGAGGCCTAGGTGTGGAGATGAGGATCCAGGCTCCTAGAGCTGTCAGAGAAAGATGGACATTGTCCCTTGGAGCACATCAGTGGCTGTGTGGTCACCTAGCTGCAGCCCCACCATCCCCCCCTGGCAAGGACCTCCTGACAGGACTTCATTAGGTGGCTTTGCCCACACACAGTGATGGAAGCTTGCTTGTCAGTGGCATCTGATGTTGAACTGTCCTGGCCACTTGAAAGTTCTCTTGGACTGAGCCCAAGTCGGCTTCCCTTAGGACCGCCTTCACTGGTCCCAGTTCCACACTGTGGATGCGCTCCAGTGTCCTCAGCACTTATTTGCTAGGCTAGGGGTGGTCAAGCGACACTAGAAGTTGATATGTCGTGAATGGTGCTAGGAGGCTCTAAAAGAGATGAGCATGGCACCGTCCAGCGTGTGTGTGCCCGTGCGCATGTGTGCGAGTGCTCCTGCGTGCGTGCGTGTGGTGGGTGGTGCAGTTGTCAGGGAGCAGACAGAAAAGCAAGGTGTCACTTGAACCAGGCTGGAGGCACAGAATTCCAGGAAAAAAAACTGAGGGCTGGAGTCAGTGGGTTAGCAAGCTGAGCTGAGGCCTGGAGCCACAGACGTGTGCTAGGAGCACTGTTGGGTTCTAGGGGAGCTGGAGGCCTGCCGTGTGGACCAGAGGACCAAGGAGGCAAGTGGGCTGGTCTCTTCAGCGTGCCTACTGCTTGACTCTGTAGATGCATCCTTTCAGCCGCTGGCTGCGCTCTTCAGTTGCTGTGTGCCCTATTGCAGGCCTCTGCAATGCTGCCGCTTCTGCGTCTCCTCCTCCTGGCCCTAGGCCTGCATCTGACCAGAACACTCAACTCCAATGATCCTAATGTCTGCACCTTTTGGGAAAGGTGAGAAGGGCCCCAAGCTTGATGCTTGTCCTGGAGGGCTGGCTCCTCCTAGGAATCTGTTTCTGGTCCCTTTGTGCCCTTCCATGGCCTTTGGCCTTCCCCACCTCTGCCCTTGCCTCAGTCTCTGCCCTGTCTCTGACACTGATACCTGTCCTTGTCCCTGGATCCCTGTGGGAGGGGCTGGCTGGGGTGGGGGTAGGGAGACAGTAGGGGACAGGACTGGATAACAGGGCCCAGGGCAGAAGATAGCCAAAATGCTTCAGTCCATTGCTGCCAGCTGGGCCCACATTGAGCAGTCAAGTTCAATCTTCCCACATCAGAAGGCATGTGGGGGATGCAAGTTTGTGTGCGTATGCGTGCGTGTGTGCATGCGTGCGTGCGTGCGTGCGTGTGTGTGTGTGTGTGTGTGTGTGTGTGTAGATGGCTTTGGCCCTTAGGATGGGAAATAGCTATGATGGGAGGAGTTCTAGAACATTTCAGTTCTAGAAGGAGCCTCTAGGTAAGACACATGGGGAGTAGGGCAAGGAAGCCCAAATTCTGGGGTGCTGGTTTTCTACCCCGTGAAGCCTGGCCTTGGCTCTCTGTTGCACCCTATCGCCTCAGGCCAGGGCTGTCTTGGGCTAACCGTTCTCATTCCACAGCTTCACCACCACCACGAAGGAGTCCCACTTACGCCCCTTCAGCCTGCTGCCGGCTGAGTCCTGTGACAGGCCCTGGGAGGACCCCCACACTTGCTCTCAGCCCACGTGAGTGCTTTATCCTTCTGTAATCAGTAGCTGGTTGAACCCTGGCCCCTCTCAGAAACTTTGGTGCCTAGAGGACACTCTGAGCTCAAGGCACTCACCTGTCCATAGTGGGCACCCGTGTGTCCTGTGAAGGTGTGTCTGCTTTACTGTACACGTGTGTGGCTGATGTGAGGCAGAGAGGGAACACATCACGTCCCCTCTGACCCCCTCTAGTGCCTCATTGAGGTATGACGGGGTGGAGGGTAGAGGTGGGGCCAGGACCTCAGCTAAGAGCACTGATGGCATCTCTGGGCCACCGCAGGGTTGTCTACCGCACTGTGTACCGTCAGGTGGTGAAGGTCGACTCCCGCCCACGCCTGCAATGCTGTGGGGGTTACTATGAGAGCGGTGGAGCCTGTGTCCGTGAGTCTTGAGTTGGGTCAGGGTAGGAATGGAATGGGAGGGACCCATCGTCCGAATTTTTCCCGCCCTAGTGAGCGGTATGGTGCTGGTGGGTTGCAACTGTCTACTCCTTTGGCCAGTGGCTATAGTGGGGTTACAGGGCTACAAGACGGGCTGGAAATGGAGGCAGGATCTACTTTGCTATTGTCCAGTTTCTTGGTCCTAGTATCTGTGTGCCTATCTTCAGATGGGCCCCTGCCATCCTCCAACCCTTCACTCAGTTCTGTCACCAGTCCCTGGAGGCTAGCTCCCCAGGCTGACTCAGCCCCCCCTCCCCCTTCTGACCACATCTCTAGTCAACTACCACTTGAGGATTCTCCCACTTCCCAACAAGATGTTTAGATGTTTGCAGAAAGGGTTCAGGGAGCCTGGACCCCCCCAAGTTTTCAACAGAGCTGGTGCTTGGGGATCTGCAGGCATGGGAGGAAAGGGCTCCGGCTTCATAGATCAAAGATGGGAGGGTGGGATGAAGGCACTGTCTCATTCACCTCATCTCTGGACAGCACTCTGTGCCCAGGAGTGTGTCCATGGTCGCTGTGTGGCTCCTAATCAGTGCCAGTGTGCACCAGGCTGGCGGGGTGACGACTGTTCCAGTGGTAAGTTGTCAGTGACTCAGGGGTGCGTGTGTGTGCGTGCGTGTGCGTGCGTGTGAGTGTGTGTGCGTGTGAGTGTGTATGTGCGTGCGTGCGTGTGTGTGTGCGTGCGTGTGTGCATGTGTGTGTGCATGCTTGTGTGTGCGCATGTGTGTGTGTGCATGAGTGCGTGCATGTGTGTATGTGCGTGCGTGTGTGTGTGTGTGTGTGTGTGTGTGTGTGTGTGTGTGTCAGAGTTCATTGCTGTTAGCTGCCTGTTCTGGAGATGTGGTAGAGGATATGGGTGTGTGGGATAAGAGACTGGGTTCCACCTGGAAGCCAGGGACAGGCTAAGTACCCGGTGACTCCCTCCTATTTCTCTGTCCCAGAGTGTGCCCCAGGAATGTGGGGGCCGCGGTGTGACAAGCTGTGCCACTGTGGGAACAGCAGTTCCTGTGATCCCAAGAGTGGGGCATGTTTTTGCCCCTCCGGACTGGAGCCCCCCAACTGCCTTCAGCCTTGCCCTCCTGGCCACTATGGTCCTGCCTGCCAGTTTGGTTGCCACTGCCATGGAGCATCCTGTGACCCCAAGAATGGAGCCTGCTTCTGCCCTCCAGGAAGAACAGGACCCAGGTGTGTGATGAGGCCGTAGACACAGGACCATACATGAGGGAATGATGGAGTTGAGAGACCAAGATCTGAATCCAGCTCCTGCTGGGTCTCAGCCAAACAGTTACCACAGTGAGAAAGAGAGTGTGTAAGAGGGAGAGGAAGAGAGAGAGGGTGGGGAGAGGGAGAGGAAGAAGAAGAGAAAACAAGTTGTTAAGGGAGGCTGAGTTGAAGACCTGGGCAGAACTGCTTGCAAGGCCACATGCAGAAAGGGTTGTGGTGTTACTCTCCAGGGTAGAAATTTTGTAATAGGAGCTGGTGTCAAGAGAGGGCCACCTGAGCGGGGAGGAGGCGCACAGGAGCCTGTTTGCTGGGGCAGACCTGCTGCTGCGTCGGGGTGTCCTTGCCATTTACCTGCCCCAGAGGCCCCTCCTGTGCAGGCAGCCAGCCTTGGGGGAAAGGAGGGCCAGTTGAAGGTTCTTCCTATGACACTCTGACTCACCCTGTTCCACAGCTGTAATGTGCCCTGTTCACAGGGCGCTGCTGGCTTCTTCTGCCCCAGAACCAATCCTTGCCAAAATGGAGGCGTTTTCCAGGTCTCCCAAGACTCCTGCAGCTGCCCTCCTGGCTGGATGGTATGAAGGGTAAAGCCTGTGTGCATGGGGTTGGGATTCCCAAGAGAATTCTGAGGGTGGCTCTGGTGAGAGCTCCGGGCCAGTGTTTTCATAAGATGGGGTTTCAGGACCCTGGAGAGGTTTGAGGGCCTTGAGCCAGCAGCCGTGAAAAGGGGATTGAGTGACTTTTCACCCACCCACAGGGTGTCATATGCTCCCTGCCCTGCCCAGAGGGCTTCCATGGACCCAACTGTACTCAAGAATGTCGCTGCCACAACGGCGGCCTCTGTGACCGGTTTACTGGGCAGTGCCACTGTGCTCCTGGGTATATTGGGGATCGGTGAGTATGTGGCTCCGGGGAGCAGGGGTGGACTAAGAGGAGGTGGAGCCCAGTTCAAACAGCCGTTCTTAACCCGGCACCCAGGTGCCGTGAAGAGTGCCCTGTGGGCCGCTTTGGACAAGACTGTGCTGAGACCTGCGACTGCGCCCCTGGTGCCCGTTGCTTTCCTGCCAATGGCGCGTGTCTGTGTGAACATGGCTTCACAGGCGACCGCTGCACTGAGCGCCTCTGTCCAGATGGCCTCTATGGTCTCAGCTGCCAGGAGCCCTGCACCTGTGACCCGGATCATAGTCTCAGGTGGGCTGTGGGAAACATGGTCAAGGGAGCTAGGTTCGTGTTTTAGATTCATCAGGGAAACCGAGAATACCAGGGTATAACTAAGGGCATCGATGCCACAGAAGGATCGGGGAGGAGGGTTTGGGGAGGGGGCGGGAGCGGCATGGGTATCCCTCCTTGCCCAGCCTGCCTCTTGGGAGGATTTCGGTTCCCTGCTAGGGCTCTACGGAGGAAGGGGCTCTATAATACAGTTCTCGTGTCCCTCCTGCGCCCACAGCTGCCACCCTATGCACGGTGAATGCGCCTGCCAGCCAGGCTGGGCGGGCCTAAACTGCAACGAGAGCTGCCCACAGGACACGCACGGGCCGGGCTGCCAGGAACACTGCCTGTGTCTGCACGGCGGCATCTGCCTTGCAGACAGCGGCCTCTGCCGGTGCGCACCCGGATACACGGTGAGGCTGGGCCCCACTATGGGGAAAGGAGGAGTAGAGTGGGTTCTGAACCGCCCCTCACTCGTGCACCCTCTGCTTTCAGGGACCTCACTGCGCTAACCTATGCCCACCGGACACTTACGGGATCAGCTGCTCCTCCCGCTGTTCCTGCGAAAACGCCATCGCCTGCTCCCCCATTGACGGCACATGCATCTGCAAGGAAGGTAATGGACTAGGGTCTTTGGGAGGGGCGGGCTGGGCTGGGGTTGAGGAGAGCACTAACGGGACAAAGCTTATTGGAAGTGGGCCTGTGGGAATGGATCCAGGCTTCCGGGCTAGTTCCTGCTAGAACACTGTCGTCTTTCCTCATCCTCCCCTTCTTCTGCTCTCCCCTTTCCCACTTTTTTCTCAAAGTTCAAACACCCATCCTATCTCAGCCTCTGGAGGGCTGGGATCACAGGCAGAGCCCAAATGCCTTAGTCATTTTGCTTTTCGCTGGCTACAATCGTCATACATGTCCTTAAAAGGTACAGACCAAAAGCTACCTCTAAGAAGAGCATTTCCCACCCTCAGTTCTATAGAAATGCACTGTGACTGTGCCAGTGAGGTCTTCTGAGGGCCGCCACTGTGGCGTGTTGGCAGCCCTTAAGATGGCTTCAGGTTCAGTGTTAGACTTAACTGAGGATCAAGTCTTCAGCCCCCGTTTCTCCCTGTTATCCCACAGATGGCCTGGTGGGGTCCTCTATGAGCTTGGGTTTGTTGCCAGCCTCCTCTTTTCTGTAGGGGAAACAGACGAGGCCCAGGTGGGGCGGAAGATGGAGGAGGCGGCCCAGGCGATCGGTCAGTGGGAGTCTTTGAACTGTTCACGTGCTTTGTTCACGTGCTTTTCTCCCTCTCTAGGTTGGCAGCGCGGTAACTGCTCTGTGCCCTGCCCCCCTGGTACCTGGGGCTTCAGTTGCAATGCCAGTTGCCAGTGTGCCCATGAGGGAGTCTGCAGTCCCCAAACTGGAGCCTGTACTTGCACCCCTGGGTGGCATGGAGCTCACTGCCAGCTTCCTTGCCCGGTGAGTGATCACAGCCCACCCGCCTGGGGGAGGGGAGGGCACAGCATCCCTCAGCTGACGAGCCTGCTCTTCCCGCCTTTTGCTCTTCAAGAAGGGGCAGTTTGGTGAAGGTTGTACCAGTGTCTGTGACTGTGACCACTCTGATGGCTGTGACCCTGTTCATGGACACTGCCGATGCCAGGCTGGCTGGATGGGTGAGCATTCTGGGTGACTAGGTGTTAGTCTGTTATGGACTTGGGCGTGTACTCCATGAGAGATGACCCTTAGTTGTCCCCTGCAGGCACACGCTGCCACCTGCCTTGCCCAGAGGGCTTTTGGGGAGTCAACTGCAGCAGTGCCTGCACCTGCAAAAATGGGGGTACTTGTGTACCAGAGAATGGCAACTGTGTGTGTGCACCAGGGTTCCGAGGCCCCTCCTGCCAGAGGCGTAAGGCTCCCTATACTCCACCCCCTTCCGTTAGCAGTTCAGATTCAGGAGCCCTACTCTACCCCTTGGGTTCTGCCTCTGACTGCCATCTCTAGGACAGTTAATCCAGGGGGAGGTGGGAAGGGTCTGGTCAAGGCCCCCCAGTCACCATGCTTCCCTTTCCCCAGCCTGCCAGCCTGGTCGCTATGGCAAACGCTGTGTGCCCTGCAAGTGCAATAACCATTCTTCCTGTCACCCTTCGGATGGGACCTGCTACTGCCTGGCGGGCTGGACAGGCCCTCATTGCTCTGAATGTACGTAGCAGCCTGTGTAGGAGCAGGTATGCCTGCTGCTTGGGTGGCTGAGTCCTGGAATCTCAGTCTCCCGGCTCTGGGCAGAAGGCCCCCTCACCAGTCACCTTACTCAGTGTACAAGAGGAAAAGTCCTTCGTGCTGGGAACTGGATTTAGTGGAAGATGCAGCAGTGAACATGTCAGCAGGGTATTTATGGAACAGCAGGTCTCAGGAAGTTCCCCTTTGGACATATTATTTTTTCTTCCTTTTAAAAATTAATATATATATATATACATATATATATATATTAAACTATTAATTTACTCTTTGGAAATTTCATACACATCGATGATGTGTCTCAATCAAATCACGCTCCTACTCATGCCCCCTAATCTGTCTTTCTCCTACCCAAGTATCCACTCCTTGGGTCCAGTTCGTTTGCCTGTGAGGGTTCGTTTGCCTGTGACTGGAGCATGTGTTCCCCTCTCCCAGCCACCATGGCTGTTTTATATCTTTCTCACATTATTTTTATTGTGTGTCATCTCCCACATAGCTCTATGGCGATAAAGAGATGACTAGTCTAGGCAGCGGGAGCATGTTTTGAAGGGAGAAACTGCTCAGTGATGGCTGGCTGCATTTCTGCAGTCCGCGCACAAAGGAAGTGCTCCTGGTGAAGTGTGCATTTGTTTCCTGTTGCTGCTGTTGTGTTTTCTGCATGGGATTTGGTAGCATCTACTATGAGATTATATACTAGGATCACTCACACAGCTAATGGGTTAGGCTGGGTGTATTAGCAACACATCCGTAATCCCAGGCAGGAGGCAGATGTTTGGAAAGGGAAACAACAAGCCCAGTGCCCAGCTCTCCAGGGGCTGTTGGGAAAGTTCTGGTTCCCCAGCTCTTGGTACATTATTTCAAAGTGGCTCTTAGGAAGTCAAGAGCAGATATTAAGTGGGTAGTGGGTCAAGATGGCTGGAGATGAATATTTGAGTGGCATCAGTGTGTAGATATCCTACAGAGCCTTAGTATCTCCAAGCAAAGGCCAAGCTGAAGACTTCAGAGATACTGAGAGTTCATGCAGAGGGGATGGCCTGGCCCTGCCTGACAGCCCCTTGTCTCCTACAGCATGTCCTCCAGGCCACTGGGGACTCAAATGCTCCCAACCCTGCCAGTGTCATCATGGTGGAACCTGCCACCCCCAGGATGGGAGCTGTGCCTGCACCTCAGGCTGGACTGGACCCCATTGCTTGGAAGGTACCAATAGAAAGCTAACTCCCTGACCACACCATAGCCCTTATCCAAAAGGAGGATGCTGTTTGCTGGCTCTGTGGCTGCTACTTGTTTCCTTGGCTCTATCCAGGCTGCCCTCCAGGAGTATTTGGTGTCAACTGTTCCCAGCTCTGCCAGTGTGGTCCTGGAGAGAGGTGCCACCCAGAGACGGGGGCCTGCGTGTGTCCCCCGGGACACAGTGGCGCGCCCTGCAAGTTGGGTGAGTGAGTTCTTGGACTCTTTGACCCTCCAAGGTTCTGTGACTCAGGGTCCCCATACCACCCCTGTTGTCCTTAAATTGCACCCATGGTCATTAGCAGAACCAAGGTGCCAATCTCAGTGTCCACTTCCTCTCACAGGAAGCCAGGAGTCATCTACCGCAATGCCCACCTCTCCTGTGACCCATAGCTCGCTGGGTGCGGTGATAGGCATTGCAGTACTGGGGACCCTTGTGGTGGCCCTAGTGGCACTGTTCATTGGCTACCGCCATTGGCAAAAGGGCAAGGAACACGAGCACTTGGCAGTGGCTTACAGCTCTGGGCGACCGGACAGCTCGGATTATGTCATGCCAGGTGAGCTCGGGTGAGGCTTGATTGAGTGAAGGGCTGGGGTGCTGCTGACTATTCCCTCATGGGGTGTGGGGTGGAAGAATGGTTGGAGTCGGGGGGGGGGTCAGACTGCTGTCATCCTGGCCTCTGCCTGCTTCTGAGCTACTCTGCACCCGTGTTTGTCCTGCAGATGTCTCTCCCAGCTATAGTCACTACTACTCCAACCCTAGCTACCACACCCTGTCTCAGTGCTCTCCGAACCCCCCACCCCCTAACAAGGTCAGTGCATTGAGGGGGTGAGCTCCGTGTGTGGGTGGGGGTGACTCACTTCTCAGGAGAGCCTCAAGCCTGCCTGCACTCTCCCTGAGGCATCATCCCCCATCAGGTTCCAGGCGGTCAGCTCTTTGTCAGCTCCCAGGCGCCTGAGCGGCCAGGCAGAGCCCATGGACGTGACAGCCATGCTACACTGCCTGCAGACTGGAAGCATCAACGAGAGCCCCATGACAGAGGTAGGTGCTCGGAGGCAGAGGCCGGGGAGGGGAATGTGTGCGGCCTCATCGGCAGGATCATCTTGCTGCGGTTGGGATGGGGAAGAGCCTAGTTCCAGAAGAGGCCTGGGAAGGGACCAGAGGTCTGACTTCTGTTTTTCCTTTCTTCAGGCTCCAGCCACCTGGACCGAAGCTATAGCTGTAGCTATGGCCACAGGAAAGGTCCAGGACCACTCTGTCATAAAGGTGTGACTAGAGAGACGAGGAGGGGAAGGGAGGCTGGGTCAGTGCCTCCAGAAACCTGATTTCCTTCCCTGACCCTTAGGTCCCACTTCTGAAGAGGGGCTGGGGGCAAGTGTTATGTCGCTGAGCAGTGAGAACCCCTATGCTACCATCAGAGATCTGCCCGGCCTGCCTGGGGAACCCCGAGAAAGCAGCTATGTGGAGATGAAAGGCCCGCCATCAGTGTCTCCTCCCAGGCAGCCTCTTCATCTGCGGGACAGTCAGCAGTGGCGGGGGCAGCAGCCACAGAGGGACAGTGGCACCTATGAGCAGCCCAGCCCCCTGAGCCATAGTGAGCGAGCCCTCCCTGCCCCCAGCAGAGGCTACAGGGCACTGGAACCTGGGAAGTGGGGAGGGAGAAGGGGAGGGGAGAGCAGGGAATAGCGGCATGGTGTGGCAAGAGCGAGGCCTTTGGGTGGTTTGGTCTCAAGCCAGGCAGGACACTAGGGGAGTTACCCTGCTTCTTCAAGCCCATTCGAGTATTTGAGAGGGTGCTTGCACTGGGTAGAGTTAGCATCCAGAAGAGTGGAGACCAAGTTGTGGGACAGTGTCCGCGTGTCCTTTGAGGTGGACAGGTGGGGGTCACTGAGTAGCAAAGGGCTTTGCTCAGAGCCAGACATGCAGGTGCTTGGTCCAGCCGGCCCATGTGTATTGCCCTTCACTTCTCTATGGGTAGGAAGAGCCTAGAGTAGGAGGAGAGCTAGGGAAGGTTGAGGGGTCACCTCATCCTGTCCTCTCTGTCTTCAGATCAAGAGTCTGTGGGCTCTATGCCCCCTCTTCCTCCAGGCCTGCCTCCTGGCCACTATGACTCACCAAAGAACAGCCACATCCCTGGCCACTATGACTTGCCTCCGGTACGGCATCCTCCATCACCTCCACCTCGGCGACAGGACCGCTGAGGAGTCAGCGTGGGATGGGATAGCACCTGTATACCCTGGCAGGAGCAGGGACTGGACCAGCAGGCCATGGAGAACACATATGACAGAGTGAACAGAGAGACTGACGATGGCTCTCAGCTTCCACCAAGGGAGACACCAGCTGATAAACCAACTCCCTTTCTTCAACCCAGTGTTTCTCACGAGGCTCCGTGGACACAGCTGGTGGACTGAATGATGTGGTATATAAGTCTGATTTTAGATTGATTTTAAAAATGTGTCGGGTGCCTTTTCTGTATGTATACCCAGGCGGGGCTGTGTGTGTGTCTAGTTGGCTTCAGAGGGTGCCGGGCACTGGCTCTGCGTTCGCATGTCTCGTGTAGCTAGCCTCCAAGCTAAGCTAGCTCCAGCAGCAGGCCCCAGCAACCCGCCCATTTGGTAATCCTCCGTGTTTGTTTTTGCTCCGATGATTGCTCCCTGCCTGTGGTGTTTATCCTCCTGGTACTCCTTGGGCTACACTTTGTCAACTTCCCGTGCCTGCCTCTCCTGCCCAGTTTCCCTCTTGTGGAGTGAAGGTTACCTGCCGCCCTTCTTCCTCCTCCAGGACTGGCGCGCCAGAGCTCAGCCTTCCTGGGTTACCTGTTGACTCTTGCTTGTACCCACTCCATCCCACGTCTCTCTTTCGTAGCTGCTGTTTTTCTCCACACACCCGCAGGAGGCAGGGGTGGTGCCAGGCAGAACTTGGATTTGTTTTATTATTTTGTTTTTTTACACCTTGTCTCACTAAGTAGTCCTGGCTTTGCTGGAACTCACTGTGTAGATCAGGCTGGCCTTGAACTCAGAGGTCTACTTCTGCCTCAAGTGTTGGGTTTAAAGGCACGAGCCACAGATAGCTCAGGCTGCACACTGATGTGATTTCCATGTCACTAGATTAGCCTCTGCCGCCCCCTAGTGGGGGAGGCGGAACGCAAGCTGCCTGGATGCAGGGCTCCATGTCTGTTCACTGTTGGTTTCTCTTGGCACACGGTAGTCAATAAATGTTCCTTTAAAAGCTGACTGGCTGAAAGACAGCTCCAGTGATAACTGGTAAACACTAGTACCTGTGTTCTCAGTGTCCGTCAGAGTCTAGTTTGGAGGTGTCAGAAGTAGCTTCCCTGCAGGGAGCAGCATCGGTGCTCCATGAACTGGGGTCCATGTGGTGGTACTGAATGAGGTGCCGAGCTCCAGGAAGCCAAGCGACTCCAAAGGGGCCCAGGACAGCGAAAGGGTAAGGATAGGACCTCTTGGATCAAGTCAATCAGACTGAGCCTCCAGTCAGCTGAAGAGGAGAGAACTCAGAATCGGCCTGGACAGCTTGCTTGAGCTCTTGGCACTAGGGACTCAGTCTAGAGAATGAGCCTGAAGTCCCCTTCTGAGTGTCCACCACCCACTACCACCGCCCTGCTCAGTGTCGCCTCGGCTTCCTGCATCTCTGTGAGTAGGGACTGTTAGATGCTCGTGCCCTCTGCCCTAGGATCCATGGATCCTAGGCTGCCTGAGCTCTGCTGTTTACACAGACCCCAACAGTACCAAACCACGCCCACTCGCTCTGGACGGGGCAATCAGGCGCCCGCCCATCACGTGCGTGCGCTCTGTGCCTCTTCACCGTTGCTCTGGCCACAGCCCCACCCAACCAGGCTCAGTTGTCCTGGAGAGGGACTCCTAGATCCTGCAGTTGTACAGTTGCTGGCCAATTGGATCTGGTGAGTGGATAATCTCAGTGTGAGGTCCACAGAGCCCTGTCTCATCTTGCCTGTTACGTGAGGGGCTCAGAACCACCAGTATGTCAAGTGAGGCGAGCGCTACAGGGACCTCACCTAGGACTCCACGTCCTGGGGCCCAGAAGTCATCAGGTGCAGTAACCAAGAAGGGGGACCGGGCTGCTAAGGAGAAGCCAGTAACTGCCCTGCCTCCAGTGGGTGAGGAAGAGCCAAAAAATCCCGGTATGCGGGCAGGGCTGGGGTTGGGTTAATCAGAGCCCTAGTGTTTGGCTTGTTATCATTATTATTAATTGTTAATATTATTATTAAATGAAGTCTTGTCTGGAACTTGCTATGTAGACTAGGCTGGTTCAGAACTCAATTCTTTCCCTGCTGAGATCAAAGTGGATCTCCTCATTGGTTGGCCTTAAATAATACACATTTCCTGGGGATGCTGACATGCATCATAAGATGTGACAAGACATCCCAAAGAAGACCGGTGGGGCGGGAAGACCCCATGCTGCTGTGGGAGGGCTCTTGAACAGGGCTCTATAGATAACTCATTTAGTCCACAGTTGAGTATCTGCCCTGTGGCCATGGACACAGTTCTGCTTCGACATATTTAAAGAAAACCATTAAAGTTGGATGAATAGGACTCTGGCTTTTCTTGACAGAACCCAATTTTCACCAATTAAGTACAAAAGGGAATTTGTCAGAAGGTGTCTTGCTACAAAATTTGGTGCTTTTTCTGGGGCCTTGCCATACCTGGAATGGAGATAAAACAACCTGGGAAAAGACTCCGATGGTCCACTCTTTGCTGGGTGCCGTTTTTCTGGTTCTGCTAGTGGTCAGGGACAGGCATCTTATGAAGAATTGGAGAAAAAGCATCTTCCACAGGCAAGGCAAGATGTCACTGACTTCTCTGGGCACATAAAGGGGGCATACTTGTAACCCCAGCACTTGGAATGATGAGGCAGGAGGCACTTGGGTTCCATATAAAACTTGGACTGTATATGAAGCAAGACTATGTACCAAGGAAGTAAAAGGGAACAGGGAACACGGAGAAGCGAGGAAGCAGAGAGATGAGCTGTGACTGAGTAAGTAGCCCAGTCCAAGGACAGTGGTAGTTGGCACAGGATAGTGAGGTTGCAAGAGGGTAGGTTAGACTCCTGGGAGGTAGAAGTGAGTGGGTAAAGGGCTGGAGGGGGTAGGAGAGGGAAGCAAGGGGGTGAGGGACCCAGCATCATTTAGTCCCAGGTTTCTAGCCTGGGATGCTAGCTGGGTGGAAATGGGAAGAAAAATAGGAGGAGCATGCAAGGCTGGGCTTCAGGAGTGAGGCTCAGCTGTAATGAAAAGGGGCAGGGCGAAATGGCTTTGGGAACTGCTAGGGTGTTGGGATGTTCAAACCTGAGACTCCCCAAGATGGGTCAGAAGTGTCTGAAGAGGTGCAGAGACGGCCCTGGCAAGGATGGCCTAAGCAGCTGGCAGATGCAGGGGAGAACTCGAGTGACAACCGTACAGGGACCCTGAGTAAGGGCAATGTGGAGGACACAGACACTTGCACACTTGCCACTGTATGGCCTGGCAGATGTGGGTCTCACCATGGGGTAGAGATGCCTGGTAGCTGTGTAGATTTAGAGGAAACTCCATCTGATGGGCCATTTCTCAATCTGTGTTGGTGTGGGGTGGAGGAGGACAGGAGTAAGTTTCTTTGAGATCTTTCCCATAGGGAATAAAATCATGAGTCTGGGCATGGGCTCAGGAGGGTGTTTTAACAAACTTGTTGGGTAATTCCTATGAATGTTAAAGTTTGAGGGGCTTTGCTCATGGGAGGTGAGTAATGCCAAGAAAGGTGATGGCCACACCCAGAGCCAGTTTGAGCATGCACAGGGCTATGCAGGGGCCTCCCAACTTCCCTGGGTCTCCTACTGTTAAATTGGTAAATTGGGCTAACTGGTTGAACATTTCCCATGGGCCCACATTTCCACTGACAGCCTGGTACAGGGACAAAGCTCCTCACTCTTCCTCAGAGTGTTCTGTGCCATGCAGTTTCTGGGTAACCTGGGACCAGGTTCCCTACTGCACAGACACAGAAGAGGTTCAACTGAGTGTCCTCTGCCAGTGGCCTGTGTGCTGCTGTAGGGTGGTCGGTGTTTGGCACAACTCCTCATTTTCAGGAACCCTTTTGGGGGTGTCAGACACCAGCTTGCAGAGCCTCAGGATGGTAGGTGGTAGGCAAGACTGAATTAGCAGAGCATTTTACAAACTCTGGGACACTGACTAGCAAATATACTATTAAAAAGAAAGTGTTAACAGGTCAGCAGCCCTGCTGGGCAGCACAGTCCCCTTCTGCGAGCTCTTGCTTTCCTCCAGTGTTTTTAGCATTGGTCTTAGCAAAATAGCTTCCACTTGGGGCTGCTGTGAGCATGGAGGTTCCTGCTGCACTGAACGCTGGGCTCACTCCGCTGCCGCCCCTGCAGAGGAGTACCAGTGCTCAGGGGTCCTGGAGACAGACTTCGCCGAGCTCTGCACACGGTCAGGCTACACGGACTTTCCCAAAGTTGTCATCCGGCCACGGCCCCACCAAAACTTTCTCCCTTCTACCTCCATATCAGAAAAACCCACCCAAGGTGAGCCATAGCCCACTCAGCTCCCTCACTGGGTGGGGCACAATGCAGCTGTGGATGCCCTCACACTCCCCCGCCTTCTAGATGACCAGCGGCTGTCAGCATCCTGCAGCCAGAACAGCTTGGAGAGCAAATACGTGTTCTTTCGACCTACCATTCAGGTGGAGCTGGAGCAGGAAGACAACAAGGCAGTGAAAGAGATCTACATCCGGGGTGAGTGCCGCCCTCCCAGGCCCCCCTCAGTCCCAGCTGAGCTTTACCACCCGCTACTGACTCACAGTAGGTCACAGGTCCCTCCCTGGCCTGAGAAGCCCTTGGCTTTTCCTCAGGTTGGAAAGTTGAGGATCGGATTCTGGGAATCTTCTCCAAATGTCTGCCCTCCCTCAGCCAGCTGCAAGCCATCAAGTGAGAGGCACTGTGGGTGGTTAGGCTCTAGCTAGGAGGGAGGGAGAGGGGGGAGGGAAGGAGGGGGAGGAGGGGGGAGGGAGGGAGAGGGAGGGGGGAAGGGAAGGAGGGAGAGAGAGAGGGGGGGAGGGAGGGTGTGCCTGGGGGACTGTGGGAAGGGGTTTCCTATGGGAGGCCGTGCCCAGCATTTTCTATTTCTAATACTAGCTTGTGGAAGGTGGGGCTGACGGATAAGACCCTGACCACTTTTATCGCCCTTTTGCCTCTCTGCTCCTCCACACTCAGGTCAGTTGTGGTCAGGCCTAAGGGCCTGGCTGGGGTGTATGAGGGGAAGCAGTTGTTTAGAGTTAGCAAGTCCCATTTGTAGGTCTAGGCTGGCATCTGTGTGGAAATGGGGCTCAGGCCATGTCTGTTGGGTGGTATCCAGAGCCCTCTGAGGTCCCATCTCCTCTCCATCAGCCCCACCCCCTCCTTAGAGATCATCTCCCCTGTTCCATGACCCAGTACAGTGAGCAGGGAGAGACGGGCCCATGACCAGAAGCTGCTTTGGGCAGTGTGGGGAGGTGGGTGTGGAGGGATGGCTCATGCAAAAAGGGAATGCTGCCTACCATGTGAGTCTGTGCAGGAAGAGCTTGGAGCTAAGCTAGCCTTCTAGGAATTGCGGGGTGGATGGGTAGGAAGCAGAGCCAGGGTTAAGACAGCTACTCAACTGTAGCTAAGTAACTACAGTTGCAGTGTGCTGTACAAAGGACAGAGCTAACTTAGCTGTCTGACACTTTTCAGTTTCCTACAGGACCCTAGTCATCATTCTTGCTTCACAAATAGTACCTCTCAGTGCCATCCACACAAGCTTTCCTTCTATGAATCAGATGGATGCTCCCCGAGGGCAGGGGCTATATCTTTAGCTGGGAAAGTAGAAACAAATGAGCTAACAGAAAAAGAACTGTGAATTCATTATGTAAGAATCAGCCATATCCACATAAGATGATTTAAAGTGAATTGTTTTTATGAAACAAGGCAGCCCAAAAGGCTGAGAAATAATTATATGCCATGGGAAATTTCTACCCATTGGTTTCTTTTTCTTAGGACTGTGAGAGAAGCAATTATCTCTTAGAGAGTCCTGTAGTGATTTATTATTGTGTAACAAAGTCACTCCAAAATGTGGTAAACCGACCAGTAGAGCCAGGTGGTGGTGGTGCACGCCTTTAATCCCAGCACTCAGGAGGCAGAGGCAGGCAGATCTGTGAGTTTGAGGCCAGCCTGGTCTACAGCGGGAGTTCCAGGAGAGCCAGGGCTACACAGAGAAACCCTGTCTCAAAAAACCAAACACAAACACACAAAGAGCTGTTACTAGTTCTAGCTGTACCGCAGAGGACAGGATTATATAGCACAGGGCCTGGGTATCCAGAAATAGGACTCAGTGAAGGGCATCTTAGCAACCACTGTACTATATAGGTCATCTCCCATGGTCATGCTTCTGGAATTTTAGCCGGGAATTGTCATAGATGTGCTTCCTGTATTGGGGGATATTCTTAGACTCTTTTCTAGATGTTCCCCAAAGATCCACACTTCCACTCGATTCCCCCACCCCCCTTGCATGGCCTCAGTGATGATTCCTAGACCTCAGAGCCTTCTCACTCTCAGGAAGGTATCCCTGGAGGGGAACCCACTACCGGAGCAGTCCTATTACAAGCTCATGGGACTGGACAGCACGTGAGACGTCTTGACTTCACTGCCCTTTCTTGGCCTGTCCCCCACTTGAAGTTACCTTACCTCTACTTGTCCCAAAGCACCTTTAACCCTGCCCACTCATGTCCCCAAGAGGTACCAAGCCCCATGAATACGGACCGGTTCTCCCTCTCCCTGCCTGCCCCAGGATTGCTCACTTGTCTCTGAGAAACAACAACATCAATGACCACGGGGCGCAGCTCCTAGGCCAGGCACTGTCCACACTGCACAACAGCAACCGGACCCTTGTTTCACTGAACCTAGGATTCAACCACATCGGGGATGAGGGTGCCGGCTACATTGCAGATGTATGTGTGGTTGGGCAAGACACATGGGGAGGCTGGCTTGCCCTTGGCTTACAGGTCTATCTTCCAGGGCCTGAGGCTGAACCGCTCTCTCCTGTGGTTGTCCTTGGCACACAACCGCATTCAAGACAAGGGTGCACTGAAGCTGGCCGAGGTGGGTTTGCACGCTGGGCGGGGCAGGGATCTGAAGGGGATGTCTGACACTGGGAGCTGGCCTTGCCTCAGGTCCTGCGCCCCTTTGAGCTGACTCACAGGGAGGTGGTGGAGCGGAGGCGCCTGCTGCTGGAGAAAGGAACGCAGGAGCGGTCACGATCGGTGGGTGAGGAGCTACCTGGTCCCAGAAAGGCTGCTTTTCTGCTCAAATTCGCTCCATCCTCTTTCCCTTCTGGATTCTGGAGGCCCAGGGTCTGCCAAGCCCAACTTGGTGGGCTAACTACAGTCACTCTGGCAGTTAGAGTGTTCTTAAGAGAAAAGATACTATTCAGGTCACCTGGGTTTGCAGTCCTCCCCAGACGTCACCAATTTCCGATCACTGCCTAACCTGAGTCTCAACTTTCCTCAACTGAGTAGGGTAACTGTTAACTTTCTTCATACACTTGAGGGATTAAATGAGTTACTATGCAGCATTTGGAATACTGCCTAGAACTTAGCTCAACAAAAGCTGCTGACTGAGCATAATGTAAACCTTGTCAGTTAGGAGGCAGATGAAAGATGAGTTCAAGGACAGCCTGAGCAGAGCCTCAGAGTGAGATGCTGGAGGTATAGGACGATACATAGAGGGCTTGCCCTGGGTTTGATCCTAGCACTGCAACAAATCAACAACAATGACAAAAATAAAGTGCGTCATGTCCCCCTCCTAGGATGAAAGCCGGAGCCTTCATCTCATTCTCATCCTTTCTGGGCTCCTCCTTGCCAACAGCAACTCTGTCCCAGACCAGATAATAGGCAGGGAGATGGGGAAGGGAAGGCTTCTAGCTACTTCCTCTGCACCCTCCCATTTGTGAACGCAGCCTTCCTCCTCTCGACACGGGGACTCCAAAACAGAACGTGAGAAGACACAGACCATGGGGATCAGCACTGTTGCCTTGGTGGACAAGCCAGAAAAGATTCAGACAATAAAAACGACCAAGGGCCTGGGCAAGAAAAAGGAGAAGTCCGGGGTAGGTGTGTTGGGCGAGAGGGAACCTTGGGCCCTGAATGGGCAGAGGAGGAGTTTCCATGGTGTTCAGGGCAGTAGGAAGAAGGCCAAATGGATTTGGCCTTTGAAGGTGTCTCTCAAGCCCAGCCTTCAGATGCTCTCCCTCTGGGAGGCAGGATATCCATTATGTCTTTTCACATCCTTCATAGGAAGTCGTAAAGAAGGAAGAGAAGACAGGCTCGGGGCAGTCACCCACACAAGGAACCCCTAAGAAAGAAGATGCCTCAAAGGCAGGCAAGGGGAGTAAGTGTGGGCATCCTTCTATGGGAATCTTCCCCACATGGAGGGAGAGCCCTGTCAGCGCTGGAGCCAGGTTTTGGCCCTGCTGTGTCTGCCAGGAGCTGGGTCTTGTTTATTCCTCACTTTGAAATAATGAGTGACACTCCACTTGGCCTAGATATTGTGACCCACTACCATATCTTTCAGGACTGGGCCTCTGTGGCTGTCCTCAGAAAAGGAATCCATCCAGCTAGACGGGAGCTCTGCAGTTGTTCCCATGTTCTCCCCCAAGTCCCTGCCTTACGAAGCCCCTTTCCCTGGGGAATTTGGGTGGTACTGGGGGTCTTCTCTGTGCATTCTGGCTCCTCTTCTGGTCCCAGAGGTAACCATCCCTGAGCAGAAGATGAGCAAGGGAAAAGGGACGAAGACGGGGAGCAAAGAGAAACGCAGCATCCTCCTGGAGTCTGAGGTAGGTGGCACGCAGGGATGTATCAGCCAGTCTCAGTGCTTTGGCAGCTGTCTCCGTAAGCCCACTCCAGCCCACACGGGAATCCTATCTGATCTGTGCGCACCGTGGAGATGCCACTCACAACTCCCCTTTCTCCTCCTCCCCATGTGGCAGGTCCCTTTCCCTTGGACCTGCTCTGTTCTCTAAGGGCTTCAGCTTACCAGCAGCCCCTCCAACATTAAACAGGGGCAAAGGTTACTTTTGCCCCTTAGGTGTTCCCTAAGGCACTTTGTCACCACACTGCCCCATGCAGTACCCTAGTACCCTCCTTCAGACCTTGGCCTACTTTGTTGCTGGATCCCCTTTCATGCTTTGTGACTCAACCTTTCTTAGGAAGCCTTCCTGGGCCACCTGCTTCCTGGCTCCCAGCTCTCCCAGTCCTCCATCCTGTCATCTCTGTTCTCTCCATGAGGAGACTGCGCAACCCTGTCACACACTCCTGCAAGGGAAAGCCCTGTCCTTTTATAAGTCCTTCCTGGCACCCAACACAAATTCTGGCAGAAGGAAGGAGGATGGCTTTCTACTCCCCATGTTAAAGTCTTTGCCTTTGTCTTGGGCAAACTGCTCCTTCTCATCAGGACCATCGGACTCCCAGCTGCTCTTTAATGGAAGGGTTATAAATCCTTATTAAACCCCAGTCCCATGTGGACCCAGGGCTCCAGGGCCTTTGCCCTTGCCACATTCATCTGGATGTCTGTACACCTTCAACTCGTACTCCTAGGCTGCCTCTTTTAAGGTCTACATTCACACAGTCCTCTGCTCTCTAGGGCACACCACATTCTTGTTTAATCCTCTGGCTCCCCACACCAAGGAACTTTTTGAGGGTATGGGCTTATTTATCTTTGTTTCTCCAGCACCTAGGACACTGCCTGAATTCTAACCAGTACTCAAAACCTGTATGTTGAATGGATGAATGAATGAATGGCCTGATGACCAGCTCCCCTCTCCTCTGCTGCAATTAGTGTTCTGCTTTAGCAGCTGGTTGTTGAAGCTACAGAGATGGTTAACCCTCTCCTGGAACCTGTGGAGCACCGAGATGGGAAGGTTTTCATGCCTGGGAACAAGGTCCTTTTGCACCTCAACCTCCTCCGTATGTTTGCAAGCCTTACCCGTCCTTCCTGGGACTACCCAGGCTCCACCCTGCTAAGGGGTGCCACCATAGCTCCATGGGGTGTTCTTGATTCTTAAACACGTTGAGCAGAGCATCATTTTGTCAGACCCATGGGGCTGGAGCTTAGAGGAAGTGCTGGGTCAGGGATGGGATCCAGGGCAGTCGTGACATGAGTAGGATAGGGAGGCGGGGAAGAGGAGTCGCACGGGGAAAGGACATGCGGGGAAGGCGTGAAGTAGAGAGAATAGGGACAGAGGGCTAGTTCAGTCAGTCAGCCCTGCCTGGTGAACTTGGGGGTGGGGAGCCAGGCTGGCAGGTGTGATGCCAGATGCCACGGTCTGTGCCTCCTCTCAGGAAATCGGATCACAGAGGTGGGGCTGGAAGGTTTCCTCACTGCTGTGCAATACCAGGTTCAGGTATCTAAGCCCAGGACTTCGTCCAAGGGCCCCTTGGGGCTGCTGTGGCTGTCCCTGGCGGTGAGTTCCTAGCCCATTTCCAACCTTTGTTTTCTGTATTTACCAATGCCACGACTGCCTTCCCCTGCTGAGCAGCTCTAACACTGTCCTGAAAACATAATGTTCCCTTTTACCTTTCAGAAAAACTGCTTTGACCCGCAGTGTCCAACATACACCATGATTCAGGAACTGATGCTGCCAAGGGACCCTGTGAAGGCCAAGGTCAGGGAGGAGGACGCCACAGTTACCTAGGCCTCCCACGGGTGGCCCTATCTTCTTGGGAGATATCTTGGACCAGTAACAGTCTGTTGCTGCACTATTCTTTGAAAAATCACTCCAGAACTGTTTGGAACATCTGGGCTCTTGAGTCTGTTCATACTGCCTGGCTAGATGTGGCAGAATGGTGACCTGAATCACAACCACGGCTCTGTTGGGGGGGATGAACCAAGCTCCTGGCTACAAAGCCAGGGCCCTTGCTCTACCTCCCGAGTGTCCCAACAGCACCCCCCAAACCATCTCTGCCAGCATGCACATAGCCTTAGGGATGATGGAGGTTGTCCATACAACTCTGATGGAGGGAGGAGGCTTGGAACTAGGACCTGTCCCCAGCATTCCCTGCTGTTGATCTGTCTCCTATCTCCATACTTGAAATCTTAAGTACTTGTTGCCTCAGCACGGGCTGCTAAGAGGCTCCAGGGACATCTCCCATTGCTCTCAGTCTGCCGGGTCCTCCAAAGCTCTACGGCCTCCTCTCTTCAGCCCTACACTTATCTGTGGGAAGGAGACGGGTGAGAACAGTGAGGTGCAGCTGAGGGTAGGTCACGTCAGCCCTGCTTCTGTGTGTGAAGTAACCACACTGTCTTTCTTGGCCAGGGTCACTTGCCCGACCTCTTCTGAGGAGGTGCACACCTGAAACTTTGGGAGAGGTGGCAAGGGCTCTCCCTCTACCCATTCTTGACCAGACACAGCCAACACGTCCTGTATCAGTCTAAGAATTATACAACCACAATGGAAGAATATTAACTTTTCTTTAAAAAAATCTTAACCATGAAAGGAAGAAAATAAGAGTATACATTATTTTAACAGCAAAACAGTCATTTCCATATCTATATTTTATATATTATATATATTTATATATATGTATATATACACCTAGCACAGTGTGTATGTTCATCAGTGGGGAGCGGAGTGAGGACATGATGATGAACCAACGCTGCTGTGGTCCCTGGGGAAGGGCCCTGAATTAACTCAGGGACTCTGCTCTCTTAGGGTCTGTTCTGAGCTCCGTACCTGCTGTATTTGTTTCTATGGGGCAAGTGGGTGGGGAAGGAGGTGGGCATGGGTCTCATGGGCTCATTTCCTGACACAGGAGGACCCTGGAGCTTGGCAGGGCTGGGGTCTGGGAGACCTCCCTGCTGTGGGACACAGACGACAGGAACCACCATGAACTGGGCTGCTGACCGGCTCTCCGCTTAGCTGTCTCTGACTGGCTGAGCAGGCCAGGGACAGAAAAAAAAAAAAAAAAAAAAAAGGCTAAGTTATTTACAATGGCAAAAATGCACATACAATAGACATATTTATAGGAACTAAGGGGTCAGAGAGGAGAGCCAGGCCCCCCAGCTGTCTCGGGCCCAGAAGAAGGGGAGGAAAAAAGTGCATTTACACATAAGCCTCCTCCTCTGACTTGCACACCTGAGGGTACTGTGCACACGGCACACCCCACACTTGCTATGTAGCTATGTGGGGTGAAGGGGTAGGCCATTGTGGGAGACCTTTCTGTTGCGGTCAGCATGCTTGGGAGACGAAAGCCATGGACACTCGGCTAATAGGAAGAGACACTGAAACTGTCCAATGTGAACCGACCAACATGCAAGCCTCTCCCCGGGCCTCTGCAGCATCTTCCAGGGGGAGGCTTCGGTCTCTTAGTGTTGTGCTCTGGCTCAGGCCAGACTCCAGCAGAGTGGAGGAGCACAGGCTCAGGTTATCTGGATGGCTACGGTCCTGGTGACGAAGCTGTGTCTGTGGCACTGTCTTCCAGGGGGGTGTCGGAGCCTGTGGGAGGATGGTGAGGGTTAAGAAGCTGGCTAGGTTTCAAGTCCCAGTACCAGCTGTCAGTGATGAAGCTAGCTTCTTCAGAAAGTTTTTTTTTTTTTTTTTTTTTTTTTTTAACTAAAATAATTTTACTTATGTGAATGAAAGTCAGACGACTTGCAGGAGTCAGTTCTCTCCTCCTACTGTGTGAGCCCTGGGGCTTGCTTGAACTCAGATGGCCAGGCTTCGTGGCAAATGCCTTTAAACACTGAGCCATTCTGTCAGTCTAACCCTTGTTTCTTGTGGGATTTCAAGTCTATGAGGACCCCACCTCTGTCTGGCCCCAAAAATCAAGACAGGTAAGTGTGTTAACTTTCAGAGTCAGGCCATGGCAGTGGCTTTCCCCCGGAATCCAGGTTTGAGCCACTAAGAACCTCCTGGTGCATGGCCTCAACATAAAAAGAGGGTTCGGGGGGGGGGGGCTGGAGAGTTTGCTCAGTGGTTAAGAACACTTCTTCCAGAGGACCCAGGTTCAATTCCCATCACCCACATGGCATCTGTAACTCTAGTTCCATGGTGTTAAAGTTGTCTCTGGCCTTCCTTAGGTACTTCATGTATGTGGTATACAGATTTGCACACAAAGCATCCACACAAAGGATGCTTTTAAAAAGAAGGATCTGCATGGTCCCAGTTGGAGGGACCCTCTGTGTGGCTTCCCTAAAAAGAACCCTTTCTGGGGCTGAAGAATGTTCAATGGATAGGCTGGAGTTTGGATCCTCAGAATCTGTGCAACCCTGGATATGAGAGTGTAGACCTATAGCCCCAGTTCCATGGCAACAGGTAAGTGGAGACGGGGGACCCAAACGAGCCTGGTTTACCCAGCAGTGAACAGATTCTGCTCCATGGAGGAAGTGGAGAACAGACAGCTGAGGTTGTCTTCTGATGCCCCACACCACTTTTCTCACTATGTGGTCCTGGCTGGCCGGGAACTATATATAGTCTAGGCTGACTTTGAACTCACAGAAATTCAGCTGCCTCTGCTTCCTGGGTGCAGGGATTAAAGGTGTGTCCCACTAGGCCTGGCAAAGGTCCCTTTCAGAAGCGGAGGGATGACAACTCAGGGTCAAGGGACGATGGCTCACTGCTTGGCTATGCTTTCTCACGGGTCATGGCATTCCCTTAGGCGGCACATGCAGGGATTGGTGTTACTCACCTTCAGGGCAGGACCCCTGCTCCTGACTGTTTTGGGAGTCAGAGGCCAGGGCTTCCTTGGCTGGAGGAGAGAGAGAGTGGTCTGTCCATCTGGCTGCCTCTGTGTGAAAACTGCCCACAGGAGTGGTCCCACCAGATGACTCTCCTCCGAGGGACTTGAGAAGCTCTCTGTGGGCCAGCTCCATGTCCTAGAAGAGTTGTAGGAGGAATGTTTGAGTTCCAGTGCTAAGGCTCACAGGATGTGGCAGGTAAGCTGATGATGGTGGCCTAGGACTCCAGTGAAGATAACACACTTCATGAGTTGGGGAATGTAGCTTAATGGTAGAATGTTTGTCTAGCATGTATGAGGCCCTAGGCTCAATATGTTTATATCCATACACACACACATATATATATATAAATACATAACTGTCCTGAGTAACAGATGGAAGGCTTATTGACCCAAGGCCATGTTCCTTACCTTGAGTCTGTGAAGCTTGACGGTAAGCTGCTCGATAGTATGGAAGATCATGCCCACATCCCTGAGGACCAAGTTTGGGGGAGAGCAGCTGGGACATATTTGATCCTCAATGCCACCCCTCTGGTACCGAGGCTCAGCTGGCCACGTAGGGAGGCTGTGAGTCTGTGAGGGACTCAGGGGTGTCCCGGCAGGCTCAGTGTTGGAGTCCACAGGTCCTGCCGGCATGCTGACATAAAAACAGTTCCCTGTACCGGTGGCAAGGGAAAGACATCAGACAAGCAGAGATGCCTAAGCCATTCTCCCTCTCCCTCAGTGTGCCTTGTGACAGAACGGGCCAGGGAGGCTTCTACAGACAACCTAATGCATGCAGGCCCATGCTGCCTACCAGGCTCCCAGAGGCCCTTTTCTCTTTAGTTGGCAACTGTTCTCAGGCTGGCCACCTGCCAGGGGAAGATGCTTAGTGATGAGAGTGAAGAAGGGGCAAGATGGAGGTGTTATGCCGAGGGAGACAGAGAGCAGCTCCCATCCATGAAAGGAAGGAGCAGGAGGTTTCAGCCCCCCCCCCCCCTGGAAAGCAGCAGGCAGCATACTTCAACCATTTCAGTTCATACTCTACTGATGCATGTCAACACTGCCCTACATGTCATCACCCCCTAGAAACATCAACTTACTGGGGGGGGGGTGCAGGGGAGGGTCAGGGATAGCTGGCAGAAGTATGTAGTATGTAAAGGAAAGCCCCGTTACCAGGGAGAAACTCAAAGGAACCTGAAAAGTCATGCAAACCTTTTCTCAGCACAGTGCTAGAGCAGTGGACAGGGCTGGGAAGTGGTTGCTCAGGATGTCAGGTTAAGTACACTAGAGTGTGGGCACTGGCAAGACTTTTCTTGCTTTCTTCTAGACCTGACCATGGGCCGAAAGCTCTGCGAGTGGTTTCTCAAAGCTGGAGATAGAGGTCTCCTTCCTGCCTCTGGGCTACTTCCCAACCATCTCAGACAGCTTAGGGAGCACACAGAATGTTTGTGGGTAACTGAACACTGGCAGCCAAGGCCCAATTCTATCCCATTGGACCCCTGCTACAGCCTGGCCTGGCTTTGGCTCCAAGGAGAAGTTGATTACCCGTAGCCTGTGCTCCGCCTTCCACTTCAGATAGCTCAGATTCTGACTGGCCACTCTCTGGTAGTGCAGGGATAACTTTGCTGCCCGCCACCTTGGCTGCACCGACACCACCACCAGGGAGAAGAGAGACTGAGAGACAAAGCAAGGGGAAAGGAGGGAAGAGAGAGCATGAAGGAGAGGGAGAAGGAAGTGGACATGTCAGGGGATAACAAGAATAAAGGAAGAAAAGAACAAAGTGAGTACAAGATCACACATGGCCATGTCCCAGGAGCTGCAGAGAACACCCCACCAGGTCACCTTGGAAGAACAGAAGCAGGCTGGTTCTCAGAAGCCCAGCAGACAGCCTTTGGCCAGCAAAGGCACAGAGACTGATGTCAGACAATCCCCCTCAGCCTCCACTGGTCCAGGTTCTGGCCAGACTCCTCAGGAGAGTTTTTCCTCCTCCATATCTTTACTGGTCTATTCAAACCTGGCTGGAGTTGTCACAGAGCTGCCCACAGCATCCCCAACTTGGATATCTTCCCTGCCACTCTGTACTTGCTCCCAGACAACCATCCCCATTTCCAAAGGTCTTCCCAGCTT